ACGATAATAATATTATTAATTAGGCACGATTTTATAGTGGCGATGGCGTATAGTTTGTCGTATCTACACATAATAATATTATAATATTCGGAGGAGATTTTATCTCGAAACTTATTTTAACGACAATTTCTTCTAAACAACTGTTGCTCGAATACTTTTTATTAGATTAGGTACTTAAATTATTTAGATAAGGATTTTCAAAACTCTGCAGATATTTTAAGATAGTTTTAAAAGTTTCGATTAATCACCAACGCGCGTCGYCGCACCGGAGCYTCAAGCTATTATTGTGTACCGTGTCGCATAACTGATAGTGCGTAACGATTTTATACCTATAATAGCACTGTGTAGTAACTTGTAAGTATCAGTATCCATATTGTTATAATCCATTCAGATACCGTGGTTTCGGTTCCATATGGCTTTACCCGAATCGAATAGGCCCCAGACGGTWATTCCGTTATAATTATTATTMAAATRATAACAATACAGTTGAATATACTTAAATACTTAATTATTTATACGTGAATGCGTTCTGACATTATTTTTTATTAAACGTTAAAAATATCATGGACAAATAATATTACACGGTATAAAATATGTTTTTGAGGSTTTTTATTTTATACTAGGTAGATTTAATTTTACTTTAAAGTCTTAYAAAAACCGGGTTCGACTAAATAAGATAATCTATTTTTACAAATACTATTTAAATAGTTGCATTAAATTATTCAACAACAATTGAAATGAAATGAAAAAAAACTTACATTTTGTTTAACATCTGCGAAGTACGCGTTACCTATGCATTAGGGCATAAGAGTATAAGACAATTAACCTGCTTTACAAACATTACTCCATAACATTTTCATAAAGTTTATACTCCACAAATTATTTTAACAAAACATGAAATCCCGTTATATTTTAGAAACAAAAAAAACTACATAATATCATCGCACGCCCATATTATTACAAATTGTGTGTCACTATATCGATTGCACGTCGGTAACGAGCTGACCATAAATATCTACAGACTGACATATTATACTCAGTGTATATTTTAGGTCTATGACATGTTTTTTTGGTCAAATCGGCTTCAAAGATGAAAATCCTTTAGAATCCCGCTACATTATTGAGGTTTAGTGCCAACTATATTATGGACGGYAAAAAAGAAATATGAAATCACCTTCAATTTTAGATACGAGTATATATTTAAACGCTTCTTACGAAAATGATAAATTCTTTATGGTGATAAAAAGATAAATCCGTCACTGATTGCATTATTSCCTGCAGTAGMAATATAGTAGCGGTCGTCTACAAAGCTTTATCATAGCTAATCCGCAATTTAACATAATATATAGGTCCATCATAAAATATATTATATACCTTTTCGTGCGTTAAAGTGATCTAAGAGAATAAATTATCGTTTTATGTAAAAAGTCACTTAGGCGGTCGACTATTGAACAATATTTGCATAAGATAACTATTACTTATTGCTCGTATTCGTAAAATAACTTTTTAAGACGATTCGGTTTATAAATGAATTTGTGAAGTCTAGAATTTTGATATATATACCGTGTGTTCAATTTTAAAGGTATAAATACATATTTTTTTGATAAATTTAAATTTATAACTTTTTTTATCTGCGCATGCGCAGTAAAATAAAAAT